TCTTCATGTTTTATAATAATTTAAATTTCCATAAAATTATTCAAAAAAAAAAAAAAAAAATTAAATTATTTAAAAAATTTTAATAAAATGCTTCGCCAGAATTCAAATATTTTTACAAGTAATAAAATTCTTTACATGAATTCAATTATTTAAAACAATGTAATAAAATTCGTTGTATGAATTCTATTCTTTTCATAAATAATAAAATTTTTCATGGGATTTCAATCATTTTTAATACAATTTTAAATAAATTCCTCGAAAAATTCAATTATTTTTAAAAATTAATGCTAAAATGCTTCTAATATTCAATTATTATTAAAAATTTTAACTGAAATTCATTTTTAAATCAATTTTTATTAGAAAATTCTACAAGAATTCAATTATTTTAATCAAAAAATAAATAATTCATTAAATAATTGAATGCTTCTTGAAATTTGAATTCTCATAAAGCATTTTATCAACATAATTGGATTTTTCGGCTAATTTTAATAAAATTTTCAAGAATAATTACATTTTTCGAGGAATTCAATTAAAATATTGTATTAAAAATAATTGAAATTCTATGATGAGTTTTATTATTCATATAAAAAAATTAAATCTCTGTAAAAAATTTTATTATTTATGAAAATAATTGAATATTGTCATGAATTTTATAAAATATTTGTAAATAGTTGAATTCCTGTGAAATTTTTATTATTTATGAAAATAATTTAATGTTTGCTTAGAATTTTATCAAAACATTTTTTTAAATAATTGAATTCTTTTGAAGAATTTTATTAAAATATTTGAAAATAATTGAATTTTTACGAAGAATTTGATTGAAATCTTTTAAAATAATTTAATTTCTATGAAAAATTATATTAAAAGTTTGAAAAATAATTAAATTGTTTCAATTTCTAAAAATATTTATACTAGCAAAAAATTTCGTTCATTTGAACTTGAGAACTTGAAAATGGATCATAAAATATTTGAACTGAGAAAAGGTTTCATTTCTTCTACTCCGTTCATTTGAGCGTTCAAAACTAAGGAAATTAATGATCCGCATAAAAATTCTGAACATTGAAATGAATGAAATCTTTTGTCGAAAATTAATTTAGAAACTTTATAATTTATTTTTCAATACACGACACGCAATATTATTAAAATAAAATTTCAAATTAAAGAAGAAAGAAAATATTATTTTAATTTAAAGAAGAAACAAATAATATTGAATTTAAAAAAAGAACAAATATATTTTGCAATTGTGGGCCATTTAATAAATATTCGAAATTAAATTAATAATTATTAACTAACGAATATAAATTTTGGCAGAAATATAAGAAATAAAGTTAAAAATAAACTTTTTCAATGCTTTTAATAGATTTTTGTTAAGAACAAATGTTCTTAATAATTTAATTAATTTTTTAATTAAATTAATTATTTAATTTAAAAATAATTTAATAAAATTAATCTTCTTTGCCCGTTCAAATTTAAATAAATATATAAATAAAATAAACTTTCTCAGTTTCTTAAGGGATTTTTCTTCAGGACATTTTCCCCTCGAAATTGAAATAAATAAATAAAACCAACTTTCGCCGAGAAGATTGAAATTTTTCTTCCTCAATGAAAACAGACATGAGAGGAATCCCCTTCTAGACTAGACTCACATCATTTTTTGTAAGTCGACAATAAAAAAAATGAAAAGACGATGGTAGTGGAGAAGTCGAGACAGCCCTAGACAGAATCGATCGGTCATTTTTCTCCCAAAAAAAAAGAAAAAAAACCTCCGAGAGTGGTTCTCATCCGGAAAATTTATGGGAAAAACAAACACATTTTCGAAACGACTATACAAAAAAAAGGGACAAAAAACCTAAAATTGACTGATATATACTTCTTTCAATATTTTCCTTCATCGAAGGGGAAGAATTGTAACGAGACACTTTGCAATCAAGAACCAGAGGGAATTCAAGGTTCGTCTTAAGGTCAATTTCCATGAACGGTTTTATTATCACGCTTGCGCAATTAATTAGTGCTACGAGTAATGCATTGATTTGCGAGCATTCCAGAGCATTTTGTACCACGATGCAACCGAATAGTCTTAAGTCTTGCGAAACTTCTTCACTTGCAATATAATATATCCAACCTCCATTTATAATATATTTCTCTTGGTATATTAATTATTATTTGCCAGTGCCTTGAAAATTGCTTTCCAATCAATTTTATTTCTTTTTTTTTCCTTAAACACTAATCATTACTTTTCAATATTTAATAATTTATCATTTTCCCGTGAAAGTTATTTATATATATTATACTTTCTCTATGGAAGCGACAATAAAATGCTAAAACTACGAAATAAAGAGTACAATGATTCAGAGTTCATTAATCCGTAAATGAATCATCGCTATATCAAATTTGATACATTCAATGTATTTTTTCCTGTTTGATGAATCAAGATTAAAAATTTCGCATTCCTTATCTTTTAATTTCAAATTGATTTAATCTAACGATTACTCATTAATCTGTTTTTTGTTTCCTTTATTTAAACATTTTTGAAGTGTTCATTTTGAAAATTAATTTTTAAAAATCATTTTATTATTTTATTATCTTATGCTGTTTATCTATAATTACGCACCGAAAATCAATTTAGTTACGGAAATAACTATTGGATTGTAAATAAATACAGGCTTCGTACTTGATAATTAATTTTAAAAAAGTAGCAAAAAGTAGCTTCAAGACAGGAAAAAAGTAGTAAAAAAGTACCTATCGAAAAATTAAACTTGACTCAATTTTTTTACAATTTCTTAATTACATTCAGAAATAGAACAATTTTTTAAAATAAATATTTAAATATACCTATTTATTTTGTCTACAAGAATTAAAATATTTCAAATGATTTCAATGTAACGCATTTTTGAAATTTAACTATTTCTAAAAATTACAAAAGTAATTCTTTCAAAATTCAATAATTTTCTTTGTTGAAATTTATGAATAAAATTATTCAAAACTTTAATCATTTTATTTTATTCAATTCCAAATAAATTCTTATTAAAAAATTCTACGAGAATTCAATTATTTAAATACAAAAATAAATTTATTGAATATAATGGAATTTTTTTTAAATTTGAATTCTTATAAAGAATTTTATCAACATTTTTTAAAATAATTGAATTTTTACGAAGAATTACATTAAAATTTTTGATAATAATTGAATTCATTCAAGAAATGTAATTACATTTCTGATGAAATAAAATGAATTGAAAATAATTATTACACTCTAAGAAACAAATTAAGTATATCAAATTTCTTTAAATAATTGAATTCTTTCGAAGAATTTTATTCAAATTTTTAAGAATAATTGCATTTTTTGCGGAATTCATTTAAAATTGTATTAAAAATAATTGAAATCCTGCGATGAATTTTAATATTTATAAAAAATTAAAAATTCTTGCAACGATTATTTATTTAAATTAAAAAAATAATTGAATTCCTGAGAAGAATTTTATAAAAATCTATTTAAATAATTGAATTTTTTCGAAAAAGATTAGGAAAATTCTTTTTTAAATAATTGAATTTCTGTGGAAATTTTTCTTTTACGAAAATAATTGAATGTTTGCGAACATGTTTTCTGAAACATGGAAAAAAGTAGCTTTTAGAGTAACAAATAAAAAAAAGTACCTATAAAAAAAAAAAAAAAAAAAGTATCAAGTAAATGAGTGCGAGGCCTGTAAATACTAAAAAATCTCGATACAGTTTTTGTTTAGAGTAAAGACTAAATAGACTGCAATTTTTTGTATAGGGGACGAAGCAGAGATATTTATGGTGGTCAAAGAGGATTTACTTTCACATTCAGAAAAAAGAACTTTAAAAAGGTATTTCATAGAAAGAAGAGATCTACATTCAACTTTCGATTGTAACAAATTTTTCAAACGTTTCATCATAACCATCATGTGCGTAGGTAAGCATACGTGTTAAGGTCACGCACAATCGTTATACCTGCTGCTCCTTAACTTCCTGTTCAATGAATCACCCACTTATATACTTTCCCCGAGGATCTTACGTAGATTCGTCATTCCCAGTAAGCGGAACCGAATCCTCTCCCCAGTCATAACGCAGATTAAAAAAAACCCTTTTTAATACCACTGAATCAAAACCACACTCGACAATTTATTGCTCATGGGATATTATGGGGAATTTTTCCTATGATTCACAACTTTCGCAGCTTTCGAACGAAAATTTCTAACTAAATAAATATTTTCAAAAACTAATTTAACTAATTATTTAATTAAAAATAAAAAAATTAATTAGGTAAACATTATTAAATAATTTCAAGTAATTTCAATTAGTGGCACAATTTCCACTAATTCAGATTTTAATACGAGCAATAAAATTGAAAATTCCAACTGGTCTTTTTGAAAATATAAACGAAAATTAAAATTCAGAGGAAGATTGTCCTGAAATAGATAACGCGATGCTAACAAAAATAATTTTGGATTATTTTGTCCACTTTTTCGGTGCTTGCTCGAAGGTTCTTAAAAAACCGGTCCGTGAAGTCGCGTGTCGTCGACCTATCCAGCCTAGCTTACCGATCTAAACTAAATTCTTTCCACATGATATACAATATTTTCTTTCAATATAATTTCAATTTCAAATATTAAATTCGAAAAAAGATTAATATATACCCAAAATTTGCATCCAGAGATACAAACAATTTATAAGAGCGAAAAAATACGTTTCCCTTCCACCAAGTTCTCTATCAACCAACAAAATTTTCGAATAAAAATCTTCTTAAAGTTATTAAAAAAAGCTAATATTTTTTTCAGGACTGAATACTTTTGATTAAAAATATAATAAAAATAAATAGAAACAAAAACAAAAAAAAACAAAAAAAATCTTTATAAATAAAAATTATTTAGCATACAAATAAATACTTATTTTCTAATTGACAAGTAATCGTTTTTTTATATGAATCAAATAAATTTTGTTCAATTCCATAAATTATACTCAAAATCAACTGCGAATAATTTGTTTCCATTAAATTTTTAAACCAAGTAAAAAAAATCAATTCATATTGCAACAAGAGTTGCACTAGATATTCTTGAAGAGACATTCCTAGAGAGATTAGAATTGTCCAATCAGCAGCACTGGAAAGAAATTGCAACAAAGCTCGATGAAGCCTTATCAAGGCAAATGCAATCAGGAAAGAAAAGAGAATGAAAAAAAAAAAATATATATATATATGAAACAAAGAAACGAGACAAAAGTCATCTGTATTCTATAAGCGAACGTTCGAATACTGTGAGTCAGTCAGTAGTTGTAAATGAATGGAAATATAGCGGAATTTTCAATGATCAATTAAAAGTCAGTGGCACTTTCAAGCTTTCAACTTTGAGAATGCATAATATTGTGATTATTATTATTTCTTGTAACCTTCTCAAGGCTTTTGTTAAAATGTCAACAATTATTACACACGATTTGTAATCTAATTAAGGAAATCGTTAAAATCGTTACGAAAAAATTAATTCATCATATTTTTTTAAATATATGAAGTAAAAAATTTTTTACCTCGAACAACTATACGAATTTTACTATATTTGCGAAATTTTTAATTGCTTCAGTTGTGACTATTGCCATTCTGAAAAAACTTATCGCTGTTCCAGGTGAAACTATTTTTCCGTCTAATATATAATTGATAACAATATAATTAATAATATTTATTTTAAATTAATTAGTATTGTTTGATTAGAATTATTTACTATTGTTCGATTAAAATTAATTAGTATTATTTAATTTAAATTAATTAATATCTATAGAATTTATATTATTAATTGGTAATTAATTAATAAATAACTGATTACTTGTCTATTATCAAATATGTAAATATTTACTTTGATCAAATAATTATTATTTAAGGGTATTTGAACCATGATGACATCATAGCTTTAAAACACATGCTTTGCAGAACCAATGACGTCATAATGGTTCAAATGCCCTTAAATCAAAAACTATTAAGAAATTGAATAAATCGAATGAATATTTATTTGGATCAAATAATTATTAGTTAAATCAAAAACTATTAAGAAATTGAATAAATCGAATGAATATTTATTTGGATCAAATAATTATTAGTTAAATCAAAAACTATTAAGAAATTGAATAAATCGAATAAATATTTACTTGGATGATATAATAATTAATATAATAAAAAACAATTTTTCTAAAATTTCAAATTGAGACAAAAAACAAATTAAAATTGTTGCGAAAATTTATTTTTATTAATTACTTTATTTATTTGATTACTTAAGAAAGAATACGCCACAATTATTAAATTGATATTTAAAAATTAATAAAATTTATAATTAAATTATTATTTATTCAATAATCATATTAATTCACAGATAATAGATAAGTAATCGTTTATTTAAATCAAATAAATTTTTCTTCCAGTGCATTTACTTTGTTATTATTGTCTCATCGTCATTAAAAGCCTTCCGGAACAGAAATAAACTTTTGTCAGGTATACAAAAACAAATATTTATTATTTGAAATTCTTTCGTTTTTAAAACATTCAGAAAGTTATGAATAAGAATAATTTTTTATCTGTACACAATAAATATTTGACGTAAAATTTAATTTAGCAATTAAAAGTTAAAAATTCGTGAAAAATAAATAATTAACATTTTTATAGAGACGCAAATATATTGTAATAAAATAAAAATTTAATTTGAAGAATAATTTTTAAAAAATCCAATTAAACTTTTTTAAAAAATAAATTCTACAAAATTGTTAGTTAAAAGTATGAAAAATTCAAATCTTCAAAGATTTTAATTTGAATTCTTTTTAATATTCAAATTATTCTCTAAAATTTTAACCGAAATTCAATTATTTGGATACAAAGATAAATAATTTATTGAATAATTGAATATTTTTAAAAATTGAATAGAACTTTATCAAATTTTTTTTTTAAATAATTGGATTCTTTCGAAGATTTTGAATAAAATTTTCAAGAATAATTGCATTTTTCGAAGAATTAATTTAAAATTAAATTAAAAATAATTGAAATTTTGAGACAAGTTTTACTAAAATTTAAAAATTTTAAATATAAAATTAAAATTTTTTAAATAATTGAATGCCTAAAAAGAATTTTATTGTTTATGAAAATAATGAAATTATTGGGAAGAAATTTATAAAAAAAATTTGTAAATAATTGAATTTTTGTACAATTTTTATTATTTATGAAAATAAGGAAATGTTTGCGTATAATTTTATTAATTTTTTTTTTTTAATAATTGAGTTTTTATCTAGGACTTAATCAAATTTTTTTTAAATAATTGAATTCTTTTGAAGATTTTGAATAAAATTTTCAAAAATAATTGCATTTTTCAAAGAATTTATTGAAAATTGTATGAAAAATAATTGAAATTTTGAGATGAGTTTTATTAAAATTTCCGAAAATAATTGAATTCCCTAAAAAGAATTTTATTGTTTATGAAAATAATGAATTTATTGCGTAGAAATTTCTAAAAAAATTTTGTAAATAATTGAATTCCTGGGGAATTTTTATTATTTATGAAAATAAGTAGACGTTTGCGTATAATTTTATTAAAAATTTTTTTCAATAATTGAATTCTTTTGTAAATTTTTATTAAAAATATAGTAGATACATATTGAAAATCTATCGAATTAAGGAAAATTTTTGAAAATAATTGAAATTTTACCAAGAATTTTATTAAAATTTTTTGAAATAATTGAATCCCTGTAGAAAATATTATTATTTATGAAAATAATTGAATTATTGCGAAGAAATTTATTAAAAATGTGTAAATAATTGGATTCCTGTAAAATTTTGCCAAGAATAGTAATTTTTCCTACAGTTTAATGAGGCAACAAAAATAAAACCAAAATTCAGAATTTTCTTATGAATTCTAAAAATTGAATTTTTTCCAGTACTTTTAATAAAAATCCCTGATTTTTCCCTGATTTTCTTGACCAATAATTCTTCTTTCCCTGACTTTTCCCTACATTCACTGACCTGTGGCAACCCTGAATAATAAACAAACTAAAAAATATTAATAAATAACAAATAAAAAAATGCTTTTAGATTTTAATAAGAAATTTGCTTTGAAGAAATAATCCTTTGGGGAGAACGAGGCAAAAATCAAATTGCAACATCTATCTGAAAAAAATTCCACCTCATAATGGAATAAATAATATTACGAAAATATACAAAAATGGCAATAAACAGAAGTACGCACACAGTATGTACATGATTACTAATTTCAATTCTGTATTTTGTAACACCAGATTTTACGATCAGCAAGAATTTATATCTTTTAATTTTTCCTAATTAGAAATTGAAATAAATACCTCATGATAGTAATTATACATGCACCGCTGATTCACCTACATCAAGATAGAAAATCAAATATGTTAATTTATATATAATATATTTCTTGTATATTACGAGAAGTCGAGAAATGAAAAACTTTTTTTTATAATTTTGGCACGAGACATGTTCCGCAGTGGAATTTCGCCATAATTCCTTTTCTTTTTATTTAATTTACCGACAAAAGGTTGAATCCAGAGAGAATATGGGTTGGCCATAAAAGGCATTCTCTTCCAGAGTACTTTTATGTACTTTATTTGCACCTACGTGTGTAATTGTATATATACATATATATATATATATATATTATATTCCTTAAGTACCGTATATGTGTGAAGAACTTGGAAGGAAGCGGGTTAAGGACGTACGTCCTTATAAGGATGTTGCTTTACCTTTTGCCCGGTTCAGTATCTCTCACCAAATCTTCATTTCTCTCTCTCTCTCTCGTTCATAAATATGTGTGTATACTTCAGTCAAGATCGAAAGTACCAATAGGATATTCATATCCATGGCGCTTGATTTATACTCCGATAGCAATGGATCAACGGCTCAAAAACTATAATTAGCGTCAAATAAGTATTCCATTTATGAAGAGAATTCTATGAAGGAGGCAAAATCATTATTTTTATTTTGCCTACATTAATTTACACGTAATGAGTAATTATATTCGCCCACAACTTCAGGAATTTTCACATTAATAGGAAAATCAAAATTTATTTCTAAACATTTCTACAGGCTTCGTACTCAATAGTTAAATTCAGACTTCGCACTCGATAATTAATTTTAAAAAAAGTAGTAAAAAAGTAGTTATCGAAAAATTATATTTGACGACTCAATTTTTTTTATAATTTCTAAATTAAATTACATTAAAAACTAGAATAATTTTTTTAAAATAAATGTTTGAATACCAATTTATTTTTCCGCAGGAATTAAAATATTTTAAATGATTTTAACATAAAGCCTTTTTGAAATTTAACTATTTCTAAAAATTACAACTGTATTTCTTTCAAAATTTTGGAACAATTACAATTGTAATTTTTAATCCAATCAATGAAATTCAATCATTTTTTTATTGAAATTTTTTAATATATTATTTAAAACTACAATCATATTATTTCAAAATGAAAAAAAATTTTATTTTCCTGACTTTTTCCTAATTTTTATCAAAAATATTTATTTCTATCTTTTCCTCCTGCTAATAAATTGAATTCCTGCAACGAATTTTATAAATCACGAATGAATTTAAATATTTATAAATATAATTTAATTCTTGCGTAGAATTTCATAAAAATTTTTAAATAATTGATTTCTCTCGACTAATTTTTAAAATTCTAATTTAAATAATCGAATTCCAAAGAAATTTTTATTATTCACGGAAAGAATTGAATTCTTACAAAGATTTTTACAAAAAATTTTTTAAAGAATTGAATTTCTGTATGGTATTTTAATTATTGTTATTTATGATAATAATTTAATTTTACTAAGAATTTTATTATTTATGGAAATAATTGAATTCTTGCGCATAATTTTATTAGAATTTTTTAAAATATTTAAATTTCCAAGAAAAAATTTATTCATTTTAAAAATAATTGAATTCTTCTGATGAATATTGTTATTTATGATAATAATTTAATTTTACTAAGAATTTTATTAAAATGCTTCAAAATAATTGAATTTTCGGGAATAATTTTGTTATTTATTGACATAATTGGATTCTTTCGAAGAATTATTTATGTTAATAATTGAATTCTTGGGAAAAATTTTATTAAAATCTTAAAGAATAATTGAATTACTTCAAAACAATTTAATTAAAATTGTATTTAAAATAAGTCATTTCTTTTGAACAATATTTTATTAAAATATTTTAAAATAATTGAATTCCTCTGAAAAATTCTAATATTTTTGTAAATAATTAAATTCTTAAAAATTTAATTTCAATTCCTCGAAAATATCAATTATTTAAAAAAAATTTTTTTTTTAAATTCTTTGGAAAAATTTAATTATTTAAAAAATATTAGAATTTTTCAGAGGAATTCAATTATTTTCAAATATTTTAATAAAATTATTCGAAAGAAATCAATTATTTGAAATACAATTTTAATTAAAATTTTTTTGAAATAATTCAATTATTCTTTCAGATTTTAATAAAATTCTTTGCAAAATTCAATTATTTTCATAAATAATAATATTCATCACAGGAATTCAATTATTTTTAACAGTAATACATTTTTTTTTGGAGAATCAATTATTTTAAAAAAATTGTAATGAAATCGTTCGCAATAATTCAATTATTTTCGTAAATAATTGAATTATTACGAAAATTGTTATTAAAATAATTAAAAAGAATTGAATTTCTGTGAAATTTTTTGTTATTTTTCAAAATAATTGAATTCTGCATAAGAATTTTATAAAAATTATTTTAAATAATTTATTTTTTCAATTATTTAATTAAAAATAGTATTAAAAATAATTGAATTTTGGATGAATTTTATCAATTTTTTTAAGTAATTGAATTATTGTTTTGCGAAATTTTATGAAAGTAATTGAATCGTTTTAAAGAATTTGATTATAATTTTTTTAAAAATAATTTTTTGATTTTTAGTATTAGCGAATTTAAAGTAGTGAAAATTCTAAAATAAAACAGAAATAGTAACTTTTAGTGGCTGAAATATAAAAAAAAACTACCGATCTGAATCATAAGTGTCCGAAATTTTGCTTTAAAATCACTTAAAATTTACAGATTCTCGAGTAAACTTCCTAATAAGAAAATGTACTAATAAATCAGTCAATTTTATCTATAACTTGAAAAGTAAATTAATAATTAAAAATTGAAATTACAACAATAATTCAAGCGACGAATCAGGATTTCAAAGTAATGAGTTGTTGACACCGAGCGGACGTGACGTTGAATTCTCTATACACATCGACATCGACATTTTGCAGTATCGTTTGTATCCTGTTCGAAAAAGATTCTTTTTTTCTAATATGTCAAGAAGTCAGGTATTCTCTGTATATTTACTTGTCTACATTGTAAATAAAAGTGAAGAGAAAAAAATTAAATTTCCAATGTTACTTTCAATTTGTTCACGTTATAAATTTGTGTGCCAAGTCATTCCGACATTGATATCTTATGTACGATACAATATCACTTTCGCAAAAATAAAGATTAGCGCACAGTTATTCTTTGAACGATTGAAAAGATTGCAGAAGATTCTGATTACAGTTCAATACCAAGTACAGCATGTCTTAAAATTTTTCAAACAAAAAAGCAAAAACAAAAGCATAAAAAATCGAAGTTTTGGGAACATGAAAATTTAACAATAAAAAATCTAAAAATAGAATAAAAATATAGTACCGAAAGAATTTGTGAGTTATCAACTAATATATTCAGTCGACGATTATTACACTATCTTGAAAGTATCAAATTGATACCAAAAATTTGAATCAATTCATTTGATCCACATTTTTGGTATCAATTTGTTGCAATTTGATACTTTTGAGTGAACAGTAACACAGAAATTAATAAATATAAACAAATCGATCACTGCAAAAATTTCATTTTAAATACGCGAAATTACCTCACTTCTGGCATTTATAAAATTTATAAAAACAATAATATTTAAGTATACGATATTTAACGCATATTTCAATTGAGTCAAGCAGAAAATCAATCGATAAATAAATATTAAGTAAACCGAGCGAATTATCCTAAACGAAAAGGAAAAACCAATTTATTCACGTCGAGCATTTTCGCAACTTTGTTTTCACGATAAAAACTCATAAATAAACAATAAACTGTACAAATTTTTTCTTTTTTTAAAAAATCCGTCATTTTATTGTCATTTTTGTCAAGGAAATTTGCAGCAGAGGTTCAATACAACTGGCACGTTCAAATTCTCAAATATCTAGCAGGAAGTTATCGCTTCCCGGAAATAGGATCATGGAAGTTGAAATCTCGCGCAATTGCTATACATACGCGTAATGCATATAATATATGTATATGTATATACTTTAGCCGGTAAAAGGTATAGATAAAGTCAGAATTTATTGAAGCATGAGCTCATACCTAGGAGCGTCACTGATTGATTTCGTGCATGAAATCAAGTCATTGGTCGCTTTTGAAAAAAAATAACTGGAGCAGTCACGTGATAAGATATTCTTGCAAAATTCAATTTCTTTAAAATTACTTCTTACTTAAAAGAAAACTGTTTCGTTTAAAAAAAACTGTTTTATCTTACAAGAAACTATAATTTGATAAACTTTTAAACAAATTCAATTTCTGTATAAGGTTGGCATTTTTCAAATGAACATTTTCCTAAATTTTACTAGAATTGCGTCACTATACGGAAGATAACTAAAATAAAAAAAAGTTTTTAAAAATTTAATGAAAGAAACGAGGACAAAGGAATAAGAAGACAAGAAAACAAAATTCTGCACATTTCAGAAAATTCCTTCGGAAATTATCTAGAGTATAGCCGACTTGACACTGCGAATTGACTTCAGCCTTTCTTAATCAAAAGATCATCACCATCATTTAATGTTAACAAAATTTTACGATCTAGGTCATAAACACCTATAAATCTCTCAATTTATTATCAATAGCATAAATCTTTTTTATGCATCGATTCGAATAATCAGCAAACATTTCAATTATAATTTTTATTGATGCAAAGAAAAAGGAAGAATTTAGGGCTTTATCATCTAATTACTAACTTTAATTTTTAAAGAATTAAACATTTTTAAGATGCAGTGTCTCTTAATTTTCTCAGCTAATTTCATAAATTAGCAACATCCTACAAATATTTTTAATTTGCGACATGCGGATTATGGAACTTAATTATGGATTTAACTTTATGGATTTAAAACAGCTATCTGAGATTAAAACAAAAATTCTCAATAACACACCAAGAAAATTTTT